ATGCCAATAAGCTGATGAAACACATAGACAGCAAGAGCATTTTTCACATTTAAAAAATAAGATCAACTACAACATTCCCCTTGCGATGACCACATGTATCTATCTAGAAGGATTATTATTATAAACTATGGAAAGTCTGGTCACAGACAACTGAAACTTAGCCACTTGTAATGTTGTGACATATACCCAACAAATGTTTTCTGCTGTGTATACAGCACTGGTAATTGAAATTATAAAATTGCTTTTTGAGCATCTCACATTTTTATCTGTAAAAATTTCAAAGGGCTTGAGTAAAGCTGTTTATAAAACAGAAAGTGTGTATTGCTTAATTTCCAAGTCAGTATTCTAAACTGCTGTTGGTCATTCCCCATTTTCAAATACAGAATCTCTTTTATTTCTAAAAATTTACCAAACCCATATTCTGGTTTAATGTTAGCTACCCAGACTGCAAGCACTTTTAATATTTTATTTCTTCCTTCTGTCTCTATTTCAAGGAATAAATATTTTATCTTTTCTGTTCAGCTCATTGTTTTCTCTTCTCTTCCTTTTTCCAGCCCATTTCATTTTAAGCAGATCTCAGTTTCAAAAAATACCATAAACAGAGTTTTTTTTTAAAGTAACAAGTAAAAATTTTCTGTAACTTTCCATGAAGGTATAGTTTTAGTGGATACATGGTACAGAAGGCAATAGACGAACCAACTATTTTCCTTCTGCATGAGAAAGGTTTCTAGGTTACAGCAAAATATCTGAACCTTCACTCTCCAAAGCCCTATCTCCTCCCCAAAACTAACCCCAAGTTTTGTCTTCCAGTACTTGCAACATTCCACTTCCGAGTAGCAAATTCCGTATCAGTTAGAATTTGTATCATATTATATAATGCTTCTTATAATAATATTTTTTTTAAAAAATAGTGACTTAAACAAAATAAAAATGTATTTTTCTCTTATGTAAAAAGTCTGGAGGGAAGCAATTCAGGGACCTAGCCTTCTTCTCTCTTCTTGATGTGTAATGTATAAGGTCATCTTAAAACCCACAACAGCTGCTGAACTCTTGCCATCATAGCCACATTCCAGTCATCAAGGATAGAAACAGGTTCTTCTTGATTGAATTCATTCTTTTGAGGGAACTCTCTCAGGATTTCAATCAAAATTTCCACTTACATCTCATTGGCTTACAAGCCACATGGCCACGATAGCACCAAGGAAATCCAAGAATTTGTCTTTAGTGTAGAGAGAAATATCCCTACAAATTTAGAATTCTGTTACCAAAGAAGAAGGAGAGGACACTAGAGAGCAAACGGCAGGCAGTCCCCACCATGATATTCACCACAGCTTTCTTCACAACAATGGAGTTTTGGAAACAGCCTAGATGGCCAGAAGAACAATTGGGTAAATAAAACGTAGTATGTTCATATATTAAATACTGTCTTGATGTTTAAAATATTGATGTAGATTACTATCTATCAACATAGAAAGTTATCCATGGTACATTTTCGAGTGAAGAAAAAAAAAGAGCCAAGCATCTATCCTATGCTCCCATATGCAAAGTCATGTCTAAAAAGATTTTTGTAATGTTAACAGTGGTTAGGTAACCACTAGGGTTAGTAATTTTTTGTGTAATTTTACTTTAGACTTTATACTTTTCTATGTTTTGAACTTTTTACAATGAGCATGCACTGTTGACCTGACTACTGTGGAAACGAAAAGGCACTGAACGAAATCATTTTCGGTAAGTTTTAAAAAGTCAGTCTGCAACACCTTCTGTTTGCACACCTATCTTCAGCCAGTGGGTTTTTTAAACTGCCCTTACAACACTTTCCAGTTTCATACTGATAAACACTACTGCACTGATTATCAACTTTTCAGTAACATGGAACAAAGCAATAGTGAGGACTGTTTGTAAAAAATTCTTATTTGTTCTTTTGTCTGAGACTTCCAAGTTATACTACTTTGAGTTTTGTACCAACACTACTTCTCTATGAGTTTTTAATATGGTGTTCAGTAGAAAAGAAATTGGGTTTTTATTAATTGGGTGTATATTTGTGCAAGTAAGTTTCAAATGCAGTCATTAATGATTCCAGGTGGCCGTCATCCCTATTTTCATTCTGTCAGAAAATGATCATGTGTAAGACTTTGTTAGTGGGAGGTAAATAGGATTTGAAATCCAAGTCTGTCTTTCCTACACACGTGGCATTAAGCCCTTTCCCTCGTTCCTTTTATCTCTGAAATAGGTAGAATGATAACTCGTTTACTAGCTTAAAAGAGTCTGGCGAAGGTAAAATGAGATCTTTGATGGAAAATGTTTGGCAAAGTGAAAAGTAGCACATATCAAGACAGGTTGGTTTATCTTCGGATCAGGGGGGCTTTTGCAACATGGAGTTTTCTGAGCAGAAGCGATCATCGTCTGTGGGTACTACCCACAACACCTGCAGCCAATGTGACCAAACAGGTTGGTTGCTACTTCAAAAGGCAGCAGAAACAGGAAAGCAGGTGTTACAAGAATGAGGATTAAATCACTAATCCAGAAGTCTATCATGAAAATGCAGCCATAATTACTTGCATCAATTTCTTGGGATGGGTGGGTAAACCTTAATTTATCACACAAATTGTATTAAAGATTTTTTAAAGATTATCTGTGATTTTCTTAAAATATCATTTGCAAAAACTTTACTCATTGCGAACAGCTGAAAACTAAGTATTTTAATCTCCTTGCAGAGAAAAAAAATCCCAAAAGATTAAGAACAAATATCTGTTATTTAATTAAGGCAAAACATAGCCTGCTTAGAAAAGCGGTCACTCTGAGCACACACACATAACCACACACACATAACCATACCCACACACTATTGTAGTGTCTCCTTTGAAATGACATCTGTCTTAACCTCCATTTTCACAGGTGGAGAGAATTGGGGGTAGAGCTGAGGCTGCCATTATCGACAGTTGAATTTCCTCTGGACTAAGCAGAATTAAGTGGTGCTGGAGGGACATTAGGGGCTCCTCTTTGCTTGGGTCTCCTGTTCAGCACCTGGATAAGCTTATATTGCCTTGGTAACCAAGCCAAAACCCTTTCTTAATGTTGGAAAGGGTGGTGAATGCTTACGATTTACCATAGTTTGGGTGAATTGTGGTTTTTCTCACCATGTAGATGAGTTTCTTGTTTTTCTTTTTTCTAATAAAGGGATTTTGTGTGGTATGAATAGGAGAGAACTTTTATAAATTATAATATCCTGTGTAAATATAGTTGTTTCCCAACATTTTAAGCTTCTTCCTAAATCCCCCAGGCCCTTTTGTCAGTTTTGTCCACTTTGAGGAGAGAGCCTTTGCGTTGTGGTAGAGATGCAGTTGGCAATGGCTTTTGAAACATGTACACACAGACAGACCACCCCATGAACACTTTCTGAATAGTCAGATGCCTTGGGCTTCACTGGGTTGCACTGGTCTGCAACCACTATGTGGAGACCTGCTCCAAGTAACTTCTCTAGGCCCTAATGGTTCCATCTCCAAAATGTTTTAGACTTTAGACATGGGGATATTTACCTGAGACTTGCTTGAAATATTCTTAGAGAAACGTTACCCTTGTAACATTTTTGCTGAAAGCAAAATGTGTTTTGTTGTTATTATTATTATGGTAACTACTGAAATTTGTTTTCTCCCTTGCTTTTAGCTCCAGGAATACCGTGTCTTTCACGGATGAACCGAGCCAACGGGATAATGCCTCTCGCCTTACAGTTCAGATGGAAAACACCTATCAGCTGGGTCTGTTATTTTTTCACTCATTTCTATTTTCAACTTCATGTTTTAAAAAGATTTTATTTATTTGTTTGTTTATTTATTTAGAGCGGGGGAGGGGTGGAAGGGGCAGAGGAAGAGGGAGAGAGAATCTCTAGCGGACTCTGCACTGAGCACATGGAGCTCATCGTGGGGCTCCATCCCAAGACCCCAAGATCATGACCTGAGCGGAATCAACAGTTGGTCACTCAACCAACTGAGCCACCCAGGCACCCCCTTATTTTAAACTTCTAATCTCATTATTTACGTAAAATAGCTTCTGATAACATGGCATTATCTTCAATACTAGCACAATATAAGGGATCTTAAGTGATTTGATGCTGTTTTAATTTCTTCTCTGCAAGATAGGACCAACACCCATTGCTTAGTTTTCTTTATCAGTGTTTCCTAAATACCAAGCAATTCACTGGGCAGCACTGATGTGTATTGTGTATTACTGGATGGAGAAGTTCATTTCTGGGTATTTCTGGGTTATCCTCTACAATTATTTTATACATACTCAAGTTAAAGGAAAGAGATATGTCTTGAAGTTTTATCGAGCAAACCCAACCAATGTTGATAGGTGGAAAAAAAGCCTTAGAAGCAAAAGCAAATGATTTCTGGTCCCTCGTTGGCAGAGGTGTTTATCCCTTTCCACTGAGGCTTTGGGTCTTTGAAAACAAAGATCTTTGCACCTGCTCCTATACTCCCAGATGGAATCCACAGTGAATACTTTTTCCCATTCATGTTTTCTCATAGACCAACTTGTTTTCTCTAAATATGTACCTGCCCACTATTATCTGCCCACTGTATATAATTAATGCTATATAGAAATTCCACAGAGACTTGCCAATGACCAAAGGAAGGACTCTATGGGCTGGAGAGGTTCCATCTGTAGCCAGTTAACTTCAAGAAAATTGTAGACCATCAGTGCATCCCATTAGGCCTTGTAGCCAGTTTTCTACAGTAATCCCCAAGACTACATGGATTACAAGGTTCCGTAATTAGTCTGTCTACTGGTATTTTCACAGTGCCTGGCGTAGACAACTAATATTCCTGCCATCCAGTGTAATTTTCTACTCTTTCTGGTAACCTTACCCAGTTTCCTTTGGGGAAGCCCATCGCTGCCATCATTACCACTTTGGTCCATAACATTCTGCTGAGCTGACACTAGCTTCAGAGATACAGCAGTGACTAATTCTGGGATAGCATATGACCCTTTGATAGGTCAAGCCAATCAAAACCTTTGAGATTCAACTTAGACCATGTTGTTTGGACTGTTGAAGAAGCTGATTAGGCTCTGAAACCTGAAAGAAGTAGGGCTATGTGAGATTTGGCCATCTTGCCCCAACATATGAAGCCTGAGACCGAGAGAGAACCAAATCCATTATTCAAGTCTTAAATTTAGCTATCTGCTCTTAGACTTTTCAATAGGCAAGCTAGGTTTGGGTCAGGTTTTCCTCCACTTGTAACTAAAAGATCTTACCCTTTCGATGCCTATGACATTAGGCTCTGCATGCTGAAAGGGTTTGAATCAGATTTTGACAAGATAAAGGAGTTGAACTATGAAGTCCTGTGTTTCTTCATCATAAGGATATATTTTCATAACTTATTTCCTTAAATAAACAAACTAAATCATCTTATCAATTTTAGAAGTACTGAGTGTTGAACCAAGTTAGAAAAGTAATGTTATAAATGCTTAGCATAAAGTATTTCCCATATTTTCTTTGTACAAAAGGTCATGTGAATTATTCCTTTATGATTAAAGTCTTTTATGCTTATCAATCCATTTCTTAAGCATTCAACTAGCCATCTTGTTAATACTCAAACAAAAATGTATTTCCACTTCTACTTGTTTCTGACTTTATCTTGCATCTGAAAGGTACCCTGTGGACTTTTGGTAAAGATCTTCTCTCGTAGCTACACAATGCAATACTTCCCAAAAGAGTGTGTGTGGGGGGGACCTGTCAATCATCAGCATTATTGTGTTTAATTTTTCACATTCTATCTAATAATAGTTGCATCTAAACACATTTTAAATGCTTAGTACATTTGGCCTCCTTTATCTGAGTAATTATAGCCAGAATGAGATGAAACATAAGTATAATTAATGAAGGAAAAAGGGGAATGGAAAAATCTAAGTATTTTTCTTATAATGAAAACCACTTACATTTCTCATTAATTCATTACTAAACCGTGAATATAGAAAAAAATACAAGATGTAAGATCCAATATATCTGAATTTGAATACTAGTCTTGCCAGTTCCTAAATAATGTTTGAGCAAGGTATCAGCATCCTTGAATCTCAGTTTCTTTATCTGTAAAAAAAGGATAATAGTCCATCATCATAGGGATGTTGTGAGAATTAAATGAAGGAATGCATTTAAATTCCTTCTTCATTCATTATGTTATTGTTTCTCAGAGTGACTGACTCTAGGACTTCACCTTAAATCTCTAAGAAGACAGGCCTTCTGTGACATCCAGTATAATTTCCTATTAATTATGGAATGAGTTCTCCACAGTACTTTTTCTGGAGCAGTGGTTAAAGAAGTATCTTTAAAAACACTGACTGTAAGCAGGAGGTCAGACAAGACCTATATTGGTGGCTATTTTTGCTGCCACATCGAGACACCCTGAGAATGTAGACAACATAGCAAAAAAGTAGAACCTAAAGACGGAGAAAGAGAGAGAGAGAGAGACATCATTTGAGCTCAGCATCCATGGGATGCTCAGACCCTGTCATCAAATGCTCTCATGGACAAAAACTGTCAGGCTCTCTGCCCTGACTTCACTCCACCCCCTTGGGTCCTTCCTGACTGTGGAGGTCTCACTGCCTCCCTACTTATACCCTTGCCTGATCCTGCTGCCTTCTCTGCAAGAACAATCCCCATCTCCCCCCTCAAAATGAGGTAGCAACCATAACAACAACACTAATAATAATAAATACCTAATGAGTAGGGGGGGATTGTGCATGGCAGGCACTATTCTAAAGGTTTTAAGTATTTTACTCTATTTAATCCCAACAAAAAAACAATATGTGATAATTCTTATTGTTACACCAATTTGGGGAAGCTGACACACAGACATGTTAAATAACCAAATTTTTAACTATTCTACATTAAATCTATTTTTGTGACAAGTGTTTCCTTTTTTCTTTCTTTTCCTTTCCTTTCTTTTTTTTCACCCCAACCCTTCTTTAGATCTTTGCTTTTTGATTTCTAAAAATATTTTTCCTCCTAAAGAAAAAAAGATCCACTCAAAAAAAAAAAAAAAAGAAAGAAAGAAAGAAAAGGAAAAGAAAAAAGTTTTGCCATTCCCATTAGTTGACTCTGAAAGTAGATTAGGGAGCTCATTTGGGAAGTCAAAATCTGAACATTCACTCTTTCTCTGTCTTTGCATCTCATCATCCCATCCTGAGCGAGGCAAGGGATGATTCCGGCCAGACAAGAGAGAGGTCACAAAACAAGTGAGAAAAAAAGTCTATGACGATATTTCAAAATATCTTCAAAATAGGATCTAGTTAATGAGATTAAAAAAAAAAAAAAAGCCGCAAAGCCAAGTGCAGAAAAGATATTGGTTCAGCTGGACAGTAGGAGCTGTTGGAAACAGGGACTCAGGTACAACCAGGGTTCTGTCTGTCCGGCACTAAGCTGGGTGTGAGCCTCCTTCTCTCACCGTGGCCTGCATTCCTCTCCATGGTGACAGTCATGGCTTTCCGCAGTGCCTCAGGGTCATGTGTCATAACATTTTATCACCAGAAAGAGGTTGACTTCCCCCCGCCCCAAGTTCCAGTTTAAAATCAAAATTCTGAGAAAGGATTCTAATTGGCCCGGCTTGGGGCAAGTGCCGCTCCTGGCCCAATCTACCATAACTGCACTTGGGCTCAAGGAGGTGATGGTAGATCGTAAAGAACCATCTGGTCAGAGTTGGAAAATTCTCATCTTCCTAGGAGGCAAGAGGCTGTTCCCAAATGACAGGGAGGAGTACCAGACAGATATCTGCATTGAGGGAATTTACTATTTGCTGAAGGGAACGAGGCATACAAGTTACTATAATATGTGCCCAAATTAAGTTCCATGTGAGTGATGTAGGTCAAGGTATAGGCAATACACGTGCTTGGTAGGAGGGAGTGAACAACAGAAAGGTATCGTTAGAACATAGATAATCTAATTTAGGCCGAGCCGGTAGTAACATCTTTAAATTTCTTGAATAGAAAGGGGAAACCACTCTCAAATTTAGCGTCGTTTCACTCGAGAATGCAAATGGAATGTAAAAGATCCACAGGAAGATGATCCAGAGGCTTGTAGGTACCTAGGAACTTGCCCACACAGGCTGGTGCCCTATATCTGACCCCATGAGATGGGAGCAGTCAGGACCATCCTGGAGTTGTAAACCTACAGACCTACAGTGTTTATAACTGCTTGTCTGTCCTATAGAACATAGATTCCTGCTAACTAAATATTGGGGTTAATCCTCATACTCTTTGTGTCAGGTGTCTCTCCCTTTTACCTATCCAGATTCATTCCCCAGGCTGATTTAATTGAACAATTATAATCAAAATACAGATACTATGTATTGAGCCCCAGGAGGCAGACCTAACTCAACTACGGGCACAGGCTGTAACCTTCCAGTTAGGTCTGGCCAATGGAAAACTTCAGTGGGAAGTCAGAGTAGGGAAGGAGTGTGAGCTAGGGTGTTTATTTCCCCCCACACCCTGAAGGTGGGTTCATCTCACGCTATTTGCTTCCACCAATGGAAGGGCTGCCCTCAAGTGATCCCTCTCCACGTGCCTCTTCTGGATCTAGCCAGAGTTCCCGTCTCAGATCCCTCAAGCCTGGGGTGGGATGGGGGTAACACCCTCAATTTCACTAGCCAAGGGATACTGCACTATCCTTTGGTCCTGCATCCTGCTCAGAACTTCCTAAGGAGTCTCTTTATTAAATCCTCCAGGAATTGTCCTACTTTTAGTGTGCCATAGATGTCTTTAGACCCTGATACAGTCATTAAAAATAAACACTTAAACGATACTGGTGACTAGTAAAATAGAATTGAATATAATTCTTGGTCTCATTCCTTTATCCATATCAATTCAGGAAATACTGATGTGCCACTATATGCCAGGCTCTGGGCACACACACATGTCGTTCAGTGGCAGAGAGATGATGAGGTTAATACTCCCCGGAGGGACAGGGCAGATTCCTGGGATGCAAGAGAGAGAAGGTCCATCTGAAGCCTCTGCTCTGAACATGGACTAAATGTGGTTAAGAATATAAGCTCATGAGTCAGATAAAACAAGAAGGACCTCCCAGCTCTGTCACTGTGTGATTCTGGGCAAGTTACTCAATGTATTTAAGCCTCTGCTTTCCCATGTGTGAAAGGGAGAGAACAGTAAAATTCACCCCAATGATTTATTGGAAGATTATGTAAGGTAATAAATATATACTTATCACAGTACATGACATGTAGAAAATGCTCAATAAAAGTAGTTATTATCTGTACTGTGATTATTACCTATAAAATGTTTACTTCTGTTTAGATTCAGAAATCACACATTAAATATTTCTTCTGCCTTTAGCATTGTATTAGACTCTGAGGAGGACAAAATCTGATCTGGCTTACCATTTTACTGAGGAGAAAGGCAGAAATGCTTTGGCTATTGTCAGGTGGATTCCGAGCAGTGGGGGTCCAGAGAACTGGGATTCCTGAAAAGAAGGGATGATTTTTTTTTTTCACCTGAGGGGAGGAGGAAGGCTGCCTCGAGAAGAGGACATTGGAGCTGGCCTTGGAACGTGCGTGGGTATTTCTCAGACGAACGAGATAGGGAAGGCCATCCCGCTTAAAATGAGGAGTAAGAACAAAGGTCCACAAACATCCCTTAAAAGACAGATGAGGTTCATAGACTGGAACAGCAGGCACATAGAGAGCTATGGTGGGGGACGAAGGGGCTAGAGGTGCTGGACCTCAGATTTTGCTAAGGGAAATGTCACAGCCAGATCTGGGTTTTGGAGCGCCCCCTCCAGTTGTAGTGTGGCATACATAGATGGCGGATATAAGAGCCGGGGATCAGTTAGAAAGATGTTGAGACTTTAAAGAAAGTCATTAACACTGGAAACTGGAAGGGAGGATACTTTCAATATTAAACCTCAATGGTATTAAATATATACTCTTTAGGTAGCCTAGTAAATGGACAAATGTGTTGTCTTCCGCCCCTCTGCCAGAGAACCTGTGTAGAAACCTAATTAGGACCATTTTTTCCTTAAATAGAGGCCACCCAGAAGATGAAATGTCTCTACATGATTCAGTACTCTTTTGATTAGACTATGGGTGGGCAGATAGCATTTGAAATTACTTGGAAACTTCATCTGTATTTTCAGGTCCTACCAAACATTTTCCTGCGGTCATTGTCAATCATATCCTGAAAGATGTGTTAACTAACTATCTACAAGAAGAACAATATGAACCAGAGCTCTGTAGACAGATGACTAAAACAATTTCTGAGGTATATATGTGATTTGCCCGAAGTGTTAACGAGAATATTGCTAAGAGGACAACCTCTTACTTTTTGATGAAGGCAATTAATTTGCAGTAGCAGTAAAAATGCTTGTTTATATTTTATGAAAATATTTATTGGGTCATACTCTGTGTGTGTGTGTGTGTGTGTGTGTGTGTGTGTAAGAAGCCTTTGTCTAAAACAACCATTACGTGTATCATTTTGCATGTATTTTGTTTAAAAGATGTTTACAACTGCCCCATTTATTTCAAAATTTATTGCCAAGGATATATTTTAATGATCATTTTCTCTTGTTCAAGTTAGTTTCCTTGAGTGCCATCAAATATAGATATTGTGGTCTTTAAACACATTACTCTTTTTATCAACTCAAGAGCTGGCCCTCCATTAAGTTTTCTTCACTTTCCTCTTTATAACAAACTCTTTAATAAACATTCGTGGTTAGTCCTATTACAGGAGACTCCGAATATGTGCTCCCTTAATTACACATAAACAAGGTGATATAACTCTCACGCCAACATTCTTTGAAGGGAAGCCATCTTAACGTAGATTTTCAAAGAATGTAACAAATCCTTTAAATCCTGTTCTCTGGATTACAGTTTTTCCATGTGTCTTAGAAAATGTAGACTTATTGCTGGTGCTATAATTTTATCTCTAAATGTCCTATCTCAGGAGAACAGTGCTTAAAGGAAATCATAGTTGGGGGCGCCTGGGTGGCTCAGTCGGTTAAGCATCTGCCTTCAGCTCAGGTCATGAACCCAGGGTCCTGGGATCGAGTCCCACATCGGGCTCCCTGCCAAGCAGGGAGCCTGCTTCTCCCTCTGCCCCTTCCCCCCTGCTCACGCTCTTGCTTGCTCTCTCTCTCTCAAATGAATAAATTTTTAAAAATCTTTAAAAAAAATAAAGGAAATCATAGTTAAATTCCTACAACAGTTACTGAAAATATCTACAGCACATCATGTGATTTTCTTCAATCCACCATATTTATGACAAAGATAAAGACTCCTAAGTTTCCATGTGGCTAAGTGAGGACCTTTTTTGTTGTTGTTCTTTCAATTTCTAGGTTATTAAAACCCAGGTCAAGGACCTGATGATTCCACGGTACAAGCTAATTGTGATTGTTCACATTGGACAACTGAAGAGTCAGAGCATTCTTATTGGAAGCAGATGCCTCTGGGATCCTAAAAGTGATACCTTTTCATCTTACGTTTTCAGAAATTCTTCTCTCTTTGCTCTTGCAAGTGTCTATGCTGTTTACTTCGAGTGATTGAAAAGAAGAAATCTAGTTCTTACTTTTTTTAATAAAAAAATAGGCCATATCCATATCTATGTACATGAAATCTTTACTACCCAAAAGTTTGAGAAAGAAACAACACTAATATTTCAAGCAACTGGAATTTTTGGACTTTTTCATGCTCTTCTAAGAACTGAGGGAGGGAAGGGTAGCACAGGAAAGACTCTTGTTTATCCAGAGGAAGAACTAAGTCTTGATTCTGCTAGATTGTTGTTTTTAGACATGGATTCTTATTTAATATTACTTTTGGTACTAATTACTTTAATTGCTCTTTATAGAGAGAGTTAAAATTTCCTGTATTGTGTTTTATAATGAAGAGAAGTTAAAAACAAACAAACAAACGAATATGATTACATCCCCTGACCAGTAAAGGGCAGAAGAATATTCAACATGGTATACACAAATGATAAATGTGAATGTGTCTCAGTGCTGTCTATAAAAGAATACTGGTTTTCACTTCGTACTTAATAAATTGAGCAGCATTCATTAACTGCAATTATTGTTACATGTACCTGACAGTTAAAACTGCTGAGGTAGAATTAATGATTTCATAACAATTATTGTAGTCCCACAGGGCTGCTATAGCTAAAACTAGAAGCTCTTGTGGGTTGCTTGCACTTTACAAAACTGTGGGAGAACCGAATGGTGGCTCTCCAGTAATGGAGACTATAAAGCGAACAAAGGCTTTCAGGGCACTGCAGTAGACATTGCCGTATTAAATATACATGATGTTTAATAGTAAATGTATCTGTAACACTTAAAATCATGTATTAGAAAGAGACACTGCTTTTAAATATATGCTTCCCGATGTGCTTTTAAATAGGTTTTCCTTGGCTAACAAACTTTTTACACAAAATAGATAGCTGGCAGCTTAACAAATAAAACATGTGTATTTACTATTTTGTTCCTATGAATTTAGTGCTAAAGTGACCCAGTGCAGCTTCGAATGGATGGCACTAAAATTTACAGGGCTGAAATAGCTTATTATTCTGCTGCTTAATGTAGCTTGGACTATGGATCATTTATTTTTACGGAGCTTTCAATGCTTTGCGTTTTTCCTGGATGGTAAGTGAACTGCCCAGAGGACATTTGTTAAAGGTCAAAGACAAATTTTACACATGTGGAGAAAATTAGCAATGCTATAGTCTTAAGGGGAAAAAAAGTGATGTGTCATTCATATCATAAAGAATTTAGCAAATGGGAAAAGAGTCAATGCTTTATAGCTTTAAAATGTTTTGATGTTTTATTTTCCCCCAAAAGAACCTGTACTAAAAAAAATGTATACTTTTAAAATCCCTTTCCTTCCGCTTGTTCTGGCTTTTAAGGTAGCTTTTCAAAGTGAATTAGTCAATTTTCATTATTTTTTTCTGTTAGTGCCTTAGTGGGAATATGTCTGTGTAATAATTCATCACAACCAATATTGGCCCATCTCCGTAGGCCAGTTTTGAATCTGGATTAGGTCATAAGTACAGTAAGTAAATGAGCTGCATATTTTCATTACACATTTGTGAACATCTCCCCTCTTGGAGCAAGAGCAGGGGCAATCATATTGTAATTTTGCATGAGTAAATCAGAATGAAGAAAATTCCTTAGTACATAGAAAGTCCATTACAAAAACAGCTTTATTTTTTTAGAGTCCTAAAGTCTCATCCATGAGATAATTTCTTACCATCTGTCCTAGACTGTGTTAGGAATCAAAACCTTAAAACATGATGGTAGTTAAAAAGCAAAAAAGGAAGCAGTTAAACAGCATATTGCCATGTACTGTAATTCAGACAGTCAATGATGAATTCTAGCAATTATATAGCAGCATAAGAATATTCCATAAAAACCCACTAATTGCAACTACCTTGGAAGAGTGCTGGTTATCACAAAAAGTCTGATGATAGGAAGCTTTGATGGATGCATTAGCTAACACCCTGGAGGTAATCATGTAAAATACAAATGTATCAGGTCAACATGTTGTATACCTTAAGCCATGCTGTCAATTGTATCTTGGTTTTAAAAATAAAACCTTTTTAAATAAAAAAATGACACTGTAAATTTGAGGAAATTGTTTTACTTTGAGACAGCCTGAACTTTCCTAGTATTTTGCCTTCCCAACAGGTGTTCCTAAAGTGACGTCCTTCTTCCCAGACCTGCCGTGCCCACTCCTACCACAGAGCCTTCACTCATGCTTTTCCCTACCCAGAACACCCCCTTCCACTTAAAGCAAATTTCTTCACTTTTCAACATCAAACTCTGGTCTTGCCTTTTCTCTAAATCCTCCTCCATCCATTCCTTCCCTCCTCTTCTCTCTCTGCTTTCATCTCTCATAGTCAGGCTCCTGATCTCTAGGTAATTTGTGAATAATAGTTTTGTTTTCCTTACTAGACTGAAAACATCTTGAGTACATGGACCACATATCCTGACAGTACCGAACAATAAAACTGAACACGTTTTAACTTTTCAAGTGAGGTCACAGGCACTGATTGCCCTATGCTACCTAACTACCAACAGCAAAGATAATAGTAACACACAGTTTAACTCTAGAGGAACTGGGATCCTGTAGGGATAAGTACACAAGTGACCAAAGTACAGTCTAGAATATGTTTTCATAAGAAAAGTCCAGAATATCTTTATCTGCTTAAGGGAATCGGGGATGGCTTCATGAAGGAAGTGGCACTTACCTAGACTATGAAGTTGCTAAGTAGAATTTCAACAGACAGAGGAGTTCAGAGTGCATGAAGAAGTCTAGCCTGGATAAAACACAGTGTTCATGAAGATAAGGGGTTAGAACTAAGACTGGAAGGGTCCATGGATGGTAACCTGAATGTCTGGGCAAGAAAGCCACACTCAGATCATGGGTAGTCACTGAAGGCTTTTCATTCAGCTTGTTGGCTCATCGTGTAGGTGAAGTGACTCTTTAAGAAGATGAATCTGTCAGTAAAGAGCGGGAAGACCACCCAGGAGACGGGAGAGGTAATGAGAGGCGCAACTGAGTGAAATGGAAAGGAGAGGACAGTTGTATGGAACGGTTTAGGGACAGTCTTCATGACCAGGCAAAAGGGAAGGAGGAGTCCGAGGTAACAAAGCGGCTCTGGATGTTTGCAGTGTCAGGTCTGAGTCCTGCTGTCCTAGTCACTAGTTAGGTAAGTGACCTTAAATAAATGACATAACTCACTTAAGCCGAAGCTTCCTCATCTTCAAGCAAAGCAGTGATAATGCTGGTACCCACCTCACAGAGTTTTAGACTGAGGCAGACGGTGAGGCGGGGGGGCAGCCATCAGAGCCAGCCCCGTGAAGCTGAACACTGACTCAAAGGGAGGGGCTTGGAGGTGCAGCCTTGCTTGCTAAAAACAAGCAGAAGTACATGTTTACTAAGCGCTTAACAGATGGAAAGCCCTCAGTCAATAGTAGCTCCTTCGACTATAGTTGAGAGTTCGAGTCCGGACAACTAAATCAGTGGTCCTGGTAGCAAAAATAAAGAAGTCAGCAAGGAAGAATTTGAGGACTAAAATACTAAGCTTGATTTTTCACTTGTTGAATTTTAGTTAATAATGGGACATTCAGATGGAAATAGCCTGAGGCGGCTGAAAAAATGGGACTAGAGCTGAGCTACATCAAGGTGAGAGATTTAGACTTGGCAGTCGTCCAAATTGAAACCTAACGTCTTCCTCCTGATTTATAAAATATTCATTAGCAGCGGCAGCAGCAAGTATAGTGAGTACTAAGAGCAAATTACTGAAAATTCAGTTAACTCTGGGAATGTCAGCAAGAAACTCTCCCCCAGAATCAATATGAAAATTTTCCCCCAAAGCTAAAATTAAATAAGGCCTCTATTTCTTTATATTTTTGTTTTAAAAAACAATTTTTTTTAAAGATTTTGTTTATTTGACAGAGAGATCACAAATACGCAGACAGGTAAGCAGGCAGAGGGAGAGGGAGAAACAGGCTCCCAAGGAGCCCGATGCAGGGCTCGATCCCAGGACCCTGGGATCATGACCTGAGCCGAAGGCAGACGCTTAACCGACTGAGCCACCCAGGTGCCCCTAAAAAAGTTCTGTATGATCCATTTCTGTTGCCAGACATCATAAGAAATAAATATATCAGCATCTTGAATGGAAATATCAGTGCTGTTGTCTGTTGTCATTGTTAATAGAACATATTTAAAGAAAATGTATTAGGAGGCCCCTATAACAAAGTCCAGTAGATTATGTGCTGGGAAATTAAGCACTACTTCAGCTCATTGATTTTTTTTTTTAAATGTTGGGAATTATCCAGTATAGAGGGTGATTTAAAAAATAACAGTTGAGAAATTAGAGCTTTTAAATCTAGCATTTTAGAGAATGAACCCTTGCCTTGTTGGGACCATTACTTGACCTTTCTAGGTATTATCCAAAAAATGCATTAAGAAAACTCAATATTAAATAGTTACTTATAATTTACTATGCTTTTTTATTCTCAAAATTCTTAAAGAAGTGACCTGCACCCACCATCTCTGCTGCTCCCACTTTTCCCTCCTGCTCTCTGTTTGCATGCCTACCACCACGATGTTTTCACAAACAGCGGAAGTGGTGCTCCAGGCCAAATCTGCCACGTGTTTCTTGGGCCCCATTCCACCTCAGCTCTCTTCTGAATTCATTTCTTTTGAGCAGCAATGTGATGTAGTTGTTTTTTGTTTGAAGTCATTTTTTATTGTTGTTGTTTTGTTTTGTTTTATTGTGTTTTTTAAAGCACAGATTTGAAGACAAATACTCATTTTAGCCTCCAACCTGTCCTAACCGTGCAACTTTGGGCAAAGTGACCAATGTTCTGAGCCTGTTTTCTCAAAGGTAAAAATGATTATAATAATGATCACTACTTGTTATTGATCAGTGATCAATGACCACTGTTCATGTTCTTGCCGTGAAGACAGAGAGAGAGTATACGTGTAAAACGTCAAGCCCATCATAGACCTTTACTCTGGACATCCAATTTCTTCCTGTAGATCCTGTTTTCCTAAAGAATTAATCATATGTTTTAGCAATTTCTGCTCACCACCATAAAGTCATACCCTAGACTACTT